ACTGATCCACTTTTGGTTGATTTAAGGATATTAGTTTTGCAAATGATAAGAAATGAAAATAATTGCGCTGGTTCATTTAATGTTCAAAATTGGTCTTTCAGTTCACGAACAAGTATCAAAAAGATTAAGCACTTTCTGATCACTAGAATTAAATGATACAGTTTAAACTGTTCAAGTTATGTAGAATGTGATCGGTCAAAAATCTTACTTTCGATTATATTTTCAAACACTTTCATGAGTCCAACTTTGAAGCATACAGGAAACATACAAGACGAGATATCTTCTCAACAGTTTAGCATAGTTCAAAACTTCTACTACACAAACCTATCTATTTCATTGAATCAATCGCTTCATCAAAACACAATATGTTTTATACATAGATTGTGGAAATGAGAATTTTCTACAGATGAAATTGAGTATTTGATCGTTATGTTTAGTTATATGACCCAGTGTATTTTGATAGATTTATTGATCACTGGTTGAATTGTTTGTAGTAAATAATGAAATCTTGATTGACTGTCTTGTCCACTTCCTTGAATATCGCCTCATCAATTTTTGTTCCCTCATGACAAGTAGTCATATCAGTGATTTTTATAGATACCATAGCATCATTTTAGTGAGGTTAACCATTTAAAAATATCATTGTTATCTGATAATAATCATGTCTCTGACGTCCTTCATATATAGTCATATAATTGTTATGACTCATTTATATTCTCGTGGAACATTCCACTCACTCGTTCTTGGAACTTCCTACATATAAAACATGTTAAAACGAAATTTTGGATTCCTTTTACTCCCTATCTTTTAGTTTTAGCCTATTAAAATTGCTGATTTTAAATTCTATTTACTTTTTATAAGTATAACTCGATATAGGGGTCTTTAAATGAATTGGTTTTATATATACGACAGATAAAGCTTCGTTTAGTCTTTATATTAATATTCAAATTTCGGTTTACAGACAATACACTGCTACTAGATGCTGATAAGGCAGTTTACAAACAGTTAATAGAACGTATTTATTCAACAAATGAATTGTAGAACGTTTGAAACAAAATCAAAGAATAATTTTACATTTTATATCGGCCATAAATATCATCGAAGTTTACAATACTCGAATCGAAATAACCTCAAATATAGAAACTCTGTAGTTCTCACTCATTAAATTTGGGTTAAAACATAACGAAGCATCACCACTATAATTGTCCCACCCGTTACTAACCAATTAACCCTAGCACAGTCTAAATCTGTTTCATAATAAATTCAGTGATATACACTTGTTATATATTAGAAAAATACAAATGAATGAATACCTCCGTAATATATCTGTTCAGTATTCATATGTTCTCTTTTCATATTATATTTACTGTTTATACATCATCTAATGACGCATCTATTCATCTTTACCAGTTATAAACCATTTAACATTTGTCCACAGGTAAATTACTTTTCCCTATATATCACATTAATGAAATCAATGTGGTTTAGTGTTATCGGATATTTATTTAAAGTAAATCTATAGAAATCATGATAGAAATTATCTATGGCTTTTACTCCAACACACGAAGATTCGAATTCATCTCAGTGAAACTTCCAGAAGAGATATTCCGTTCGATTAGTGAACAGTACAACAATTCGCAAAACACAAAAACCCACAAATTTATTTCACTATATTAAAATGACTACTGTATCCTTTTCAAGTAATAATAACCTGACACGGTAGAAAATTTCAAGCAATCATAATTTTCATTTTATCATAGTAATGATATATTTGAGAGCAAAAGAAACGATCGAGTATAAGAAAAACGGACAATAGGATTATGTTACTTGAGAACTAACATTAGATAAGTAGTGAATACATCCACTCCATTAATAAGGATTCAGAACCATATCACCAAAATTCTCCAAACACTGGTTACGATAATCACCAGTCCTCAAACATGTAGTCTACTTCTCCCTACATAGCTCTGTCTAACAGTGATTGTCTCCATGTACTGTTACTATTTAATGTTTTGCCAGCCTCTTGCCTCCTTCCAAAATACATTTTCAACAGATATCATTGTTCCTCATGGTAGGCGATAACCAAGCATACTTATCACATACTTATCGCAACTACGTCAGTTAATGAACATACAATACCTCGTCAATCGATTCGTCATATTTACCTAGCACTCTCTACCGAACTTCAAAACTTCCCACTCAGTGGGCTCAATGTATACTGGCGATGCTTCGGAGACACTAGTGATCGAATACTAGTAACCCACGAATGTAATCTATTCTAAATGGTCATAATTGACAACCACAAAATTAAACTGCTGTGTCATATACTCATCCCTTGTTTGGTAGACGGATGTCTCGTCTACGCCACAAGTGACGCAAATTAACAAATGTCAAGTGAACTTTCCGAATGAGTGCACATATTTCTTCAGACACAAACCCTCTAGGTCTGAATTATAATATCTTAGATTTAATCAATGAATTAAATGGTGATATGTGGAAAGCATAACTGAAATGACATCCCTACTCATCAGTGGAAGGGAATGTTCGATGTCAACGATACTTAAGTGATCTGAATGATGTTTCAGGTAGATAAAGTCTTGTATAGAGAGTATACAGCTTCAAGTTAGATTAATAACTTAACTAATGTTAGTAGACATTAAAAAGCGTTGTATGCAATGAAAGCTCAAAGTAATTCTTAGATCATATCGGAAGGCAATATTTCTAGTTCAAATCAATAAAGCAGATTCAAATGAATGAAAAATCACATGTTCAATAGAACATTAAGTAATCTAAGAAACATTAGAAGTGAAACAGTAGAACGAGAAAACTAAAGATGAATTACTTGGACTGACCAATTCCTATTGTAACTGTCAGTCTAACTTCTTAACAGTGAATTGTAGTACTTGGAGACTTAATAATTCACCTCATCACCCACATCAATATCACTTAGTATGGCTTAATAGAGTCACATTTAACTCTAGTTATTTCTAAAAAACACATGTGTGTAATGATCAGTTGTCTACTGTAGTAAAAATAATGTAGTGTAAATGTGTGATGGCCAAATCCCTCAAACTGATCATGTAATAGCATTTACAACACAAAAAGGTAGATGTAACTTATACAGATAACTTGCACGGTTCTAATATATGACTATTCATTTCAATTACAAAGTAGATATATATTTGATCTAGAGTAGTTAACTTACTTATTTCTCCCTCTTTCAAATATCTTTACAACTGAAATTTATCATGATTAAGTTCGTTTTATTTGAGTTTGAATATCCATTGTGCTGACCAGCTTTAAAACTATACCAGGATTCACCCCAACCATTATTTTATCACTCTTCTACCGATATTTATAAACATCATAAAGATACATCGTTAAACTAAACGCGAAAACTATTTCAATACCTGCCAATCCCCCATGAACTTGTTATACTAACTCACAAATATAAATTCAATATCTGTAATATAAAGCTACATTTCCAGGAAACATAACTATTACTTTAATCAATAGTTTTCGGCATATAAAGGTGGAATATGATATGAATTCATTGGAAAAAGAATTCTCCTTTCAATTATCTTTGTTCTATGAATTGTCAAAAGTATTAACTGTCTCTTGAATAGCCAACGAACAGCTATCTGTACTCAGATCGCTCAGCTAAACAATTGCTCAGGAATAGTATGATTTTATTGTCTAAACTGTTAAGAACTTATTGTAGTAGTCCTTGGCCCAAACTACAATATTGCCACTAATTTGCCAGATACAATTGTTTACTCTAATATGGGATCAATTGTTAGAAATCGAAGTACATGTGAAATTCACCCATAACAGTGAACGCAAGTCACTTCCAGATACTCAAGACCATATGATATAATTCGACCATCAGAGACTTTACATCTCAGACATTAAGATTTTAAGTGAATTCTGTTAATTTTGAATTACATTTAACTATAAATCCCTAAGTAATATTTATTTCAAACCATCAAAAAATCGAGAATAAAAGTCTAATACTAAGAGATGAGTGACCACGAGGTAGTGATTAATGTAATGTTTGTCTGATTATTTAGTGCTTATCGAATTCTATAAGTCAAGTTACAATATGGCCAATAGTCTAAGTGACTCGATATCGTCTTCACTACATCGAGATGGTGTGAGGTAGTGCACAGGAAGACATCACTCTAAATTTCGTGCTGTTTAGCACATTTTAACAAGGCGTACCTGTCATCCCACAGTAAGTGTCGTTCCCTTCACGTTTACATGCACACCTTACTGGTAAGTGCTGAGTGGCATGAAACTTGCATCCAGGGTTTCCTGTCAACTACTTTCAACCATCTGACGTATCAAAGTTTCCCACTAAATGATCACAATTGTCATACACAGAACTCATCGTTTCATATAACGTGTCAAACTAAACAAAATAGATAATCACTTCAAAAAACTATCAAAATACCAATCAAATTAAGAAACGCTTATTAGCATGTGTTCATATATTTAACGTTGGTCATTAGACCAACAATAATAAATTCTATTGTGTAAGGCACACTAGAGAATCTGTTTGTGAAATGACCTTTAGGTCAGTAAATTCATGTACAACACCGCAACGGAAATCGATCAATTATTATCGACCATAATTGTAGTTTTTTTCAAAGCCATCGTAATCTATTTATGTATATATAGTAAGCTTAATAAATGCTCCTGTTTTCTCAACCATAAAAAAACTGTTCTAATGACAGAACTGAGAAAACTTGTTTTTAGATCAATAACAGTCATTTGTATTGGATACATAATACGCTGTTTTCTGAATAAATCAACCGATTCATATACTTATCATATTTATTCATCCATTGAGCTGAATGACCAACTTATTACAAATAAAAATTATGGAAAGTTAGAAAAGATTGATTTAATGAATTACAGTGGTCCTGAAAGTTTAATTTATCATGATGGTAAGTAGTGTAGTTTTGTTTAGCTTTCTTAATTGGGAAATTATCCAATAGGTTCATTGTATGCCACAGTGATTCAAGGGAAAATATTAAAAATAAATGATTCTGGGATTTATGTTCATGCAACACTTGGTTCACCAAACTGCGGTAATATTGTTCTTTATAGCTTATACCTTAACTAATACACCAAATATTTAGTTGGTGTACATGAATGTGGTAGACCATTAGGTTTAAAATTGTTCAACAATTCGGAGAATTTCTTGGTCACGGATGCCTATTTAGGTGTATTCTCTGTCTCGGTGAAAGATGGTCAGTTCAATAAACAATAGTAATAATAATAGTATTGATTATATTTTTGCATCTTTTAGGTAGTGTGAAGAAATTGTTCCCATTAGATGAAGATTTCAAAGTTACATTTTTTGATGATTCAGTAATGTTACCGAACGGTAGTCTTGTTATTACTGAAGCTAGTACAAAAAATACTTTACAACATTTATGGACAACAATTTTAGAAGGACTACCTAGTGGGAGGTAATGACAAGTTTTCACAAATGATCTGTATTTCAGTGGTTCAATTCATATCTATTTTTAACTAGGTTTAGGATGATGATACTTTCTTCATGAATTTTGTTCTGAAATATGTAAACATTTAATACTAATTCATCAGAGCTAGTCAACGGAAAATCATCGACCTAAGTTATGTATTAGTTGGGACTCGTCCAAAACACGTGACAAAGTCTCACTCAGCCAATTTTTCAAAGAGACAGTCTTACAAATAGACAGTGGCAAATACTTCTTCAATCATGGCATATTTGATTGTGATGCTCGGTGATACGCTTTCGGAAAACGTAGATAGAATAGACTATGTCGAAAATGCAGATATAATACCTGATTATCACTGAGGACTAGGAAATAAAATACTGTTTACTAGTCAATGATTGGTTAGTTTTAATAAAATAAGAAATATTCTACTTGATTTGGCATATTCCATCTGGTCTTAATAAGCATCTGTGTATATTTGATTTCCTAACTGCAGAATTTTCCATTGAGTTGTAACTAGAAGACCAAAGCAAAACATTCAGTGTTTACCAATAAATTTCATGACAACAATCAAACGTGTTACACAGTTCTAGGCATTGGTAAATGTATCCTTTCAGTCTTCAGTGTTGATTTTCCTGGAGAAATTCAACACAACTGATTAATGTTTCATGCAATAGGTTCCCTTTATGAATTTAAATAAAGCAAGATTAAATATTTGTGCAGAATTGTATGAATTCATATTATTTCGAAGTTTCTCATCAGCTGCTTACAGACGAAAAATGTTTAATCTTTCACAAGTTTTTTCAATGCCAGTTGGTGATCTTTAGTCAACACTTTCGATTGTGGGGTTGGTGTCGTTATGTACTGGTTTGTAATGTCAACTAATTTCGATTTCAACCAACTATGTTTTTCATCGTTCATGGGTTTAAGTTCTGACAACTGTTGATATAAATAATCAACCTGGGTTTCAGTGTCCATTCTGTTGAATTTTTTTCGGAATGTGAAATTTAAATCCAAGCGAGAGTGCTTCAGTTTCAATTCGCGTTAGTTTTTTTACTGAATAAATTCTGTACGTATTATTCTGGGTTCGTAGAAAAGGCGTTATGTTTTTGTTCTTTCACAAGTCTTTTGGTTAATGTCTTTAGGAATTTATGACTGCTTTTGGATTGAACATCGTAAATGAAATACATGAGTGTGATTCAACGTACAATGTTTAAATCCATATTAATGTTTACTAAACGAAAACTATCTTTAAAAAAATAAGTGAAAAATACAGTTGCGTTACTGCAGATTTGTAAAAGCATTAATACCTATTTTCTTTCGACAATGAGTCAGATGGATACTTCGGTTCTAAATGTTTACAATTAAGTCTTTTAATGCTGTCAAATAACCACCAAATAACTTGGTTTGGATACAACGAAACATTATTCGAATGACCACCAGGAACCAAAGTGTTGCATACAAATATCACATTATTCTTAGTAACGTTTATACACGTAACCACGATGTCACCGTTATATTCTGGGAAATATACGTAAAAATATACAAAACAGATATGGGCAAAACAATAGACTTCAATAACTGTCAAAGCTATAATAAGATCAAATTAATACGATGTACTTTAGAATCTTCCTGAAATAAACTTTGAATACGCCTTCCAATAATTTGTATTTCTGAAACACGAATCCTAATTAATGTAGGTTTCTTCTTTAATTATTTCTCTAGGCTAACAATGGCTGATACAAAAACTGGTCAATACAGTCACATAATGGATGGTTTACGCTTTCCCAACGGAATCGAAATTTCTAGTGACGGAAAATCCATATTACTCGTTGAAACAATGAAACTTCGAATTTTACGAATTCCATTAGATGGAGGTGAAGTGACCGTGTTCAGTGATGGGCTACCTGGTTTTCCGGATAATATCAAAGCCAGTCCACGTGGTGGATATTGGGTTCCTGTATCACCTCTTCGTGACGAGCCTCTATCTGAACTTCTACTCAATTATCTACCAGCTTATCCTTGTATTCGTCAGTTGGCTTCCAGTGTACGGTTAATAATATTCCTGCATTTTTTATAATCAATATTTTCCATCTTATTGTCACTCCATTTTTGAATTTTTTGGCAGTCGAGTGGTATACCTAGAACAGTGTATGTAGACATTTTCAAATTCAACCAACTAATGACATGGCAGTGCAATCACATAATGGCATGGTTGACCTCCACCAGTCTTGAATTCCCAATGAAACCTACAGAACTCATTTCAGAGAAAATGAATAGGGATCAAACGATTCTATATCGGTGCCTTAGCAGGGGCAAACGCTGAGGGTTTCCACACTGCAACGGAACAACTGAGAAATGTTCCCTGGTTTTCACGGGTACCTTAACTAATGTGAATCTGTAGCTGAAGCTAATTACGAATTAAAATAAACTTCACAATACCTTCAAAATGAATTATGATAGAGGTAGATCAGAGAATCTAGTGACACATATTAAACTTCTATGCAATTTCCCACCAAACTAAGTAAGAATTCAGTATTTCATTATTTTTTTTATCTTTGCAACAGATTATCTCCATGCTTCCATTCACACTAATACCGAAAGGAAAATCGTCAATGTTAATTCGTTTAGATGAAAATGGACAGATAATTGAAATTTGGAAAGATTTTCAAAATGAATTACCAAATGCTTGTGAAGTACTAGAACATGATGATACTCTATACACTGGAAGCTTTTATCTACCTTACATTGGTCGTTTAAGAAGATTGTCAAATTAATTTCTATAAAATTTGAAAATCTTTAGTTCCAGAAGATGAATACTGTGTAATTTGATGTTGTTGTTGTTGTTGTTGTTGTTGTCGTTGTTATTCATTCAGCACATTGATGATAAATACTTTCCATGTTTTGATTTGGCTTATCTTTAAGACATTCATCAATATCTTGTTTTCTTATGTTTTTTCGTTGTTGTTGTTGTTGTTGTCATTGTTGGTAGTTTGACTTAGTTATTTCTCAATATTTAATTATTCTGTACTAATTGTGCAATGTGTGAATTACTTAATCAATAATAAATGACACAATGCCATTTACATTTATTGAATCAATCAGGTCATCTTTAATTATCTGTCTATAATTCAGTTAGGTAAAGTCGTGAATTGATGTCACTATGATTGTGTACAACTCCAGGACCCAGGTGAGTCCGTTCTAGTTTTAGATGTTAATTCTAATACTAGTGAGTACGTTCCAGATCATTCAGAGACACATGATGAACCTAAGGATAAGAGGTACGACTGATCGCAGAAATTTGTATTCTTATTTAAACTGTGATGGATATTGTGCTTGTATGCTATTGATGACTCATTTGTACTTGATGAATGCCTGATTTCGAATTCCAAATACAATAATTTCGTTCGTGCTGATCTACTACACCTTGGTTAGATTGCTTTGTTTCAAGAATTCCAAGTTTGTACTAAAATTCAAATAGTCCTAATTATCACAATCTGCTTTATTGATTTGAACTAGATATATTGCCTTCCGATATGATCTAAATATTACGTCGAGCTTTCATTAAATATATAAACATACGCTAATAAGCGTTTCTTAATTTGATTGGTATTTTGATAGTTTTTTAAAGTGATTATCTAGTTTGTTTAGTTTGACACGTTATATGAAACGATGAGTTCTGTGTATGACAATTGTGATCATTTAGAGGGAAACTTTGATACGTCAGATGGTTGAAAGTAGTTGACAGGAAACCCTGGATGCAAGTTTCATGCCACTCAGCACTTACCAGTAAGGTGTGCATGTAAACGTGAAGGGAACGACACTTACTGTGGGATGACAGGTACGCCTTGTTAAAATGTGCTAAACAGCACGAAATTTAGAGTGATGTCTTCCTGTGCACTACCTCACACCATCTCGATGTAGTGAAGACGATATCGAGTCACTTAGACTATTGGCCATATTGTAACTTGACTTATAGAATTCGATAAGCACTAAATAATCAGACAAACATTACATTAATCACTACCTCGTGGTCACTCATCTCTTAGTATTAGACTTTTATTCTCGATTTTTTGATGGTTTGAAATAAATATTACTTAGGGATTTATAGTTAAATGTAATTCAAAATTAACAGAATTCACTTAAAATCTTAATGTCTGAGATGTAAAGTCTCTGATGGTCGAATTATATCATATGGTCTTGAGTATCTGGAAGTGACTTGCGTTCACTGTTATGGGTGAATTTCACATGTACTTCGATTTCTAACAATTGATCCCATATTAGAGTAAACAATTGTATCTGGCAAATTAGTGGCAATATTGTAGTTTGGGCCAAGGACTACTACAATAAGTTCTTAACAGTTTAGACAATAAAATCATACTATTCCTGAGCAATTGTTTAGCTGAGCGATCTGAGTACAGATAGCTGTTCGTTGGCTATTCAAGAGACAGTTAATACTTTTGACAATTCATAGAACAAAGATAATTGAAAGGAGAATTCTTTTTCCAATGAATTCATATCATATTCCACCTTTATATGCCGAAAACTATTGATTAAAGTAATAGTTATGTTTCCTGGAAATGTAGCTTTATATTACAGATATTGAATTTATATTTGTGAGTTAGTATAACAAGTTCATGGGGGATTGGCAGGTATTGAAATAGTTTTCGCGTTTAGTTTAACGATGTATCTTTATGATGTTTATAAATATCGGTAGAAGAGTGATAAAATAATGGTTGGGGTGAATCCTGGTATAGTTTTAAAGCTGGTCAGCACAATGGATATTCAAACTCAAATAAAACGAACTTAATCATGATAAATTTCAGTTGTAAAGATATTTGAAAGAGGGAGAAATAAGTAAGTTAACTACTCTAGATCAAATATATATCTACTTTGTAATTGAAATGAATAGTCATATATTAGAACCGTGCAAGTTATCTGTATAAGTTACATCTACCTTTTTGTGTTGTAAATGCTATTACATGATCAGTTTGAGGGATTTGGCCATCACACATTTACACTACATTATTTTTACTACAGTAGACAACTGATCATTACACACATGTGTTTTTTAGAAATAACTAGAGTTAAATGTGACTCTATTAAGCCATACTAAGTGATATTGATGTGGGTGATGAGGTGAATTATTAAGTCTCCAAGTACTACAATTCACTGTTAAGAAGTTAGACTGACAGTTACAATAGGAATTGGTCAGTCCAAGTAATTCATCTTTAGTTTTCTCGTTCTACTGTTTCACTTCTAATGTTTCTTAGATTACTTAATGTTCTATTGAACATGTGATTTTTCATTCATTTGAATCTGCTTTATTGATTTGAACTAGAAATATTGCCTTCCGATATGATCTAAGAATTACTTTGAGCTTTCATTGCATACAACGCTTTTTAATGTCTACTAACATTAGTTAAGTTATTAATCTAACTTGAAGCTGTATACTCTCTATACAAGACTTTATCTACCTGAAACATCATTCAGATCACTTAAGTATCGTTGACATCGAACATTCCCTTCCACTGATGAGTAGGGATGTCATTTCAGTTATGCTTTCCACATATCACCATTTAATTCATTGATTAAATCTAAGATATTATAATTCAGACCTAGAGGGTTTGTGTCTGAAGAAATATGTGCACTCATTCGGAAAGTTCACTTGACATTTGTTAATTTGCGTCACTTGTGGCGTAGACGAGACATCCGTCTACCAAACAAGGGATGAGTATATGACACAGCAGTTTAATTTTGTGGTTGTCAATTATGACCATTTAGAATAGATTACATTCGTGGGTTACTAGTATTCGATCACTAGTGTCTCCGAAGCATCGCCAGTATACATTGAGCCCACTGAGTGGGAAGTTTTGAAGTTCGGTAGAGAGTGCTAGGTAAATATGACGAATCGATTGACGAGGTATTGTATGTTCATTAACTGACGTAGTTGCGATAAGTATGTGATAAGTATGCTTGGTTATCGCCTACCATGAGGAACAATGATATCTGTTGAAAATGTATTTTGGAAGGAGGCAAGAGGCTGGCAAAACATTAAATAGTAACAGTACATGGAGACAATCACTGTTAGACAGAGCTATGTAGGGAGAAGTAGACTACATGTTTGAGGACTGGTGATTATCGTAACCAGTGTTTGGAGAATTTTGGTGATATGGTTCTGAATCCTTATTAATGGAGTGGATGTATTCACTACTTATCTAATGTTAGTTCTCAAGTAACATAATCCTATTGTCCGTTTTTCTTATACTCGATCGTTTCTTTTGCTCTCACATATATCATTACTATGATAAAATATATAGTCATATAATTGTTATGACTCATTTATATTCTCGTGAAACATTCCACTCACTCGTTCTTGTAACTTCCTACATATAAAACATGTTAAACCGAAATTTTGGATTCCTTTTACTCCCTATCTTTTAGTTTTAGCCTATTAAAATTGCTGATTTTAAATTCTATTTACTTTTTATAAGTATAACTCGATATAGGGGTCTTTAAATGAATTGGTTTTACATATACGACAGATAAAGCTTCGTTTAGTCTTTATATTAATATTCAAATTTCGGTTTATAGACAATACGCTGCTACTAGATGCTGATAAGGCAGTTTACAAACAGTTAATAGAACGTATTTATTCAACAAATGAATTGTAGAACGTTTGAAACAAAATCAAAGAATAATTTTACATTTTATATCGGCCATAAATATCATCGAAGTTTACAATACTCGAATCGAAATAAACCCAAATATAGAAACTCTGTAGTTCTCACTCATTAAATTTGGGTTAAAACATAACGAAGCATCACCACTATAATTGTCCCACCCGTTACTAACCAATTAACCCTAGCACAGTCTAAATCTGTTTCATAATAAATTCAGTGATATACACTTGTTATATATTAGAAAAATACAAATGAATGAATACCTCCGTAATACATCTGTTCAGTATTCATATGTTCGCTTTTCATATTATATTTACTGTTTATACATCATCTAATGACGCATCTATTCATCTTTACCAGTTATAAACCATTTAACATTTGTCCACAGGTAAATTACTTTTCCCTATATATCACATTAATGAAATCAATGTGGTTTAGTGTTATCGGATATTTATTTAAAGTAAATCTATAGAAATCATGATAGAAATTATCTATGGCTTTTACTCCAACACACGAAGATTCGAATTCATCTCAGTGAAACTTCCAGAAGAGATATTCCGTTCGATTAGTGAACAGTACAACAATTCGCAAAACACAAAAAACCACAAATTTATTTCACTATATTAAAATGACTACTGTATCCTTTTCAAGTAATAATAACCTGACACGGTAGAAAATTTCAAGCAATCATAATTTTCATTTTATCATAGTAATGATATATTTGAGAGCAAAAGAAACGATCGAGTATAAGAAAAACGGACAATAGGATTATGTTACTTGAGAACTAACATTAGATAAGTAGTGAATACATCCACTCCATTAATAAGGATTCAGAACCATATCACCAAAATTCTCCAAACACTGGTTACGATAATCACCAGTCCTCAAACATGTAGTCTACTTCTCCCTACATAGCTCTGTCTAACAGTGATTGTCTCCATGTACTGTTACTATTTAATGTTTTGCCAGCCTCTTGCCTCCTTCCAAAATACATTTTCAACAGATATCATTGTTCCTCATGGTAGGCGATAACCAAGCATACTTATCACATACTTATCGCAACTACGTCAGTTGATGAACATACAATACCTCGTCAATCGATTCGTCATATTTACCTAGCACTCTCTACCGAACTTCAAAACTTCCCACTCAGTGGGCTCAATGTATACTGGCGATGCTTCGGAGACACTAGTGATCGAATACTAGTAACCCACGAATGTAATCTATTCTAAATGGTCATAATTGACAACCACAAAATTAAACTGCTGTGTCATATACTCATCCCTTGTTTGGTAGACGGATGTCTCGTCTACGCCACAAGTGACGCAAATTAACAAATGTCAAGTGAACTTTCCGAATGAGTGCACATATTTCTTCAGACACAAACCCTCTAGGTCTGAATTATAATATCTTAGATTTAATCAATGAATTAAATGGTGATATGTGGAAAGCATAACTGAAATGACATCCCTACTCATCAGTGGAAGGGAATGTTCGATGTCAACGATACTTAAGTGATCTGAATGATGTTTCAGGTAGATAAAGTCTTGTATAGAGAGTATACAGCTTCAAGTTAGATTAATAACTTAACTAATGTTAGTAGACATTAAAAAGCGTTGTATGCAATGAAAGCTCAAAGTAATTCTTAGATCATATCGGAAGGCAATATTTCTAGTTCAAATCAATAAAGCAGATTCAAATGAATGAAAAATCACATGTTCAATAGAACATTAAGTAATCTAAGAAACATTAGAAGTGAAACAGTAGAACGAGAAAACTAAAGATGAATTACTTGGACTGACCAATTCCTATTGTAACTGTCAGTCTAACTTCTTAACAGTGAATTGTAGTACTTGGAGACTTAATAATTCACCTCATCACCCACATCAATATCACTTAGTATGGCTTAATAGAGTCACATTTAACTCTAGTTATTTCTAAAAAACACATGTGTGTAATGATCAGTTGTCTACTGTAGTAAAAATAATGTAGTGTAAATGTGTGATGGCCAAATCCCTCAAACTGATCATGTAATAGCATTTACAACACAAAAAGGTAGATGTAACTTATACAGATAACTTGCACGGTTCTAATATATGACTATTCATTTCAATTACAAAGTAGATATATATTTGATCTAGAGTAGTTAACTTACTTATTTCTCCCTCTTTCAAATATCTTTACAACTGAAATTTATCATGATTAAGTTCGTTTTATTTGAGTTTGAATATCCATTGTGCTGACCAGCTTTAAAACTATACCAGGATTCACCCCAACCATTATTTTATCACTCTTCTACCGATATTTATAAACATCATAAAGATACATCGTTAAACTAAACGCGAAAACTATTTCAATACCTGCCAATCCCCCATGAACTTGTTATACTAACTCACAAATATAAATTCAATATCTGTAATATAAAGCTACATTTCCAGGAAACATAACTATTACTTTAATCAATAGTTTTCGGCATATAAAGGTGGAATATGATATGAATTCATTGGAAAAAGAATTCTCCTTTCAATTATCTTTGTTCTATGAATTGTCAAAAGTATTAACTGTCTCTTGAATAGCCAACGAACAGCTATCTGTACTCAGATCGCTCAGCTAAACAATTGCTCAGGAATAGTATGATTTTATTGTCTAAACTGTTAAGAACTTATTGTAGTAGTCCTTGGCCCAAACTACAATATTGCCACTAATTTGCCAGATACAATTGTTTACTCTAATATGGGATCAATTGTTAGAAATCGAAGTACATGTGAAATTCACCCATAACAGTGAACGCAAGTCACTTCCAGATACTCAAGACCATATGATATAATTCGACCATCAGAGACTTTACATCTCAGACATTAAGATTTTAAGTGAATTCTGTTAATTTTGAATTACATTTAACTATAAATCCCTAAGTAATATTTATTTCAAACCATCAAAAAATCGAGAATAAAAGTCTAATACTAAGAGATGAGTGACCACGAGGTAGTGATTAATGTAATGTTTGTCTGATTATTTAGTGCTTATCGAATTCTATAAGTCAAGTTACAATATGGCCAATAGTCTAAGTGACTCGATATCGTCTTCACTACATCGAGATGGTGTGAGGTAGTGCACAGGAAGACATCACTCTAAATTTCGTGCTGTTTAGCACATTTTAACAAGGCGTACCTGTCATCCCACAGTAAGTGTCGTTCCCTTCACGTTTACAGGCACACCTTACTGGTAAGTGCTGAGTGGCATGAAACTTGCATCCAGGGTTTCCTGTCAACTACTTTCAACCATCTGACGTATCAAAGTTTCCCTCTAAATGATCACAATTGTCATACACAGAACTCATCGTTTCATATAACGTGTCAAACTAAACAAAATAGATAATCACTTCAAAAAACTATCAAAATACCAATCAAATTAAGAAACGCTTATTAGCGTATGTTTATATATTTAATGAAAGCTCGACGTAATATTTAGATCATATCGGAAGGCAATATATCTAGTTCAAATCAATAAAGCAGATTGTGATAATTAGGACTATTTGAATTTTAGTACAAACTTGGAATTCTTGAAACAAAGCAATCTAACCAAGGTGTAGTAGATCAGCACGAACGAAATTATTGTATTTGGAATTCGAAATCAGGCATTCATCAAGTACAAATGAGTCATCAATAGCATACAAGCACAATATCCATCACAGTTTAAATAAGAATACAAATTTCTGCGATCAGTCGTACCTCTTATCCTTAGGTTCATCATGTGTCTCTGAATGATCTGGAACGTACTCACTAGTATTAGAATTAACATCTAAAACTAGAACGGACTCACCTGGGTCCTGGAGTTGTACACAATCATAGTGACATCAATTCACGACTTTACCTAACTGAATTATAGACAGATAATTAAAGATGACCTGATTGATTCAATAAATGTAAATGGCATTGTGTCATTTATTATTGATTAAGTAATTCACACATTGCACAATTAGTACAGAATAATTAAATATTGAGAAATAACTAAGTCAAACTATCAACAATGACAACAACAACAACAACAACGAAAAAACATAAGAAAACAAGATATTGATGAATGTCTTAAAGATAAGTCAAATCAAAACATGGAAAGTATTTATCATCAATGTGCTGAATGAATAACAACGACAACAACAACAACAACAACAACAACATCAAATTACACAGTATTCATCTTCTGGAACTAAAGATTTTCAAATTTTATAGAAATTAATTTGACAATCTTCTTAAACGACCAATGTAAGGTAGATAAAAGCTTCCAGTGTATAGAGTATCATCATGTTCTAGTACTTCACAAGCATTTGGTAATTCATTTTGAAAATCTTTCCAAATTTCAATTATCTGTCCATTTTCATCTAAACGAATTAACATTGACGATTTTCCTTTCGGTATTAGTGTGAATGGAAGCATGGAGATAATCTGTTGCAAAGATAAAAAAAATAATGAAATACTGAATTCTTACTTAGTTTGGTGGGAAATTGCATAGAAGTTTAATATGTGTCACTAGATTCTCTGATCTACCTCTATCATAATTCATTTTGAAGGTATTGTGAAGTTTATTTTAATTCGTAATTAGCTTCAGCTACAGATTCACATTAGTTAAGGTACCCGTGAAAACCAGGGAACATTTCTCAGTTGTTCCGTTGCAGTGTGGAAACCCTCAGCGTTTGCCCCTGCTAAGGCACCGATATAGAATCGTTTGATCCCTATTCATTTTCTCTGAAATGAGTTCTGTAGGTTTCATTGGGAATTCAAGACTGGTGGAGGTCAACCATGCCATTATGTGATTGCACTGCCATGTCATTAGTTGGTTGAATTTGAAAATGTCTACATACACTGTTCTAGGTATACCACTCGACTGCCAAAAAATTCAAAAATGGAGTGACAATAAGATGGAAAATATTGATTATAAAAAATGCAGGAATATTATTAACCGTACACTGGAAGCCAACTGACGAATACAAGGATAAGCTGGTAGATAATTGAGTAGAAGTTCAGATAGAGGCTCGTCACGAAGAGGTGATACAGGGACCCAATATCCACCACGTGGACTGGCTTTGATATTATCCGGAAAACCAGGTAGCCCATCACTGAACACGGTCACTTCACCTCCATCTAATGGAATTCGTAAAATTCGAAGTTTCATTGTTTCAACGAGTAATATGGATTTTCCGTCACTAGAAATTTCGATTCCGTTGGGAAAGCGTAAACCATCCATTATGTGACTGTATTGACCAGTTTTTGTATCAGCCATTGTTAGCCTAGAGAAATAATTAAAGAAGAAACCTACATTAATTAGGATTCGTGTTTCAGAAATACAAATTATTGGAAGGCGTATTCAAAGTTTATTTCAGGAAGATTCTAAAGTACATCGTATTAATTTGATCTTATTATAGCTTTGACAGTTATTGAAGTCTATTGTTTTGCCCATATCTGTTTTGTATATTTTTACGTATATTTCCCAGAATATAACGGTGACATCGTGGTTACGTGTATAAACGTTACTAAGAATAATGTGATATTTGTATGCAACACTTTGGTTCCTGGTGGTCATTCGAATAATGTTTCGTTGTATCCAAACCAAGTTATTTGGTGGTTATTTGACAGCATTAAAAGACTTAATTGTAAACATTTAGAACCGAAGTATCCATCTAACTCATTGTCGAAAGAAAATAGGTATTAATGCTTTTACAAATCTGCAGTAACGCAACTGTATTTTTCACTTATTTTTTTAAAGATAGTTTTCGTTTAGTAAACATTAATATGGATTTAAACATTGTACGTTGAATCACACTCATGTATTTCATTTACGATGTTCAATCCAAAAGCAGTCATAAATTCCTAAAGACATTAACCAAAAGACTTGTGAAAGAACAAAAACATAACGCCTTTTCTACGAACCCAGAATAATACGTACAGAATTTATTCAGTAAAAAAACTAACGCGAATTGAAACTGAAGCACTCTCGCTTGGATTTAAATTTCACATTCCGAAAAAAATTCAACAGAATGGACACTGAAACCCAGGTTGATTATTTATATCAACAGTTGTCAGAACTTAAACCCATGAACGATGAAAAACATAGTTGGTTGAAATCGAAATTAGTTGACATTACAAACCAGTACATAACGACACCAACCCCACAATCGAAAGTGTTGACTAAAGATCACCAACTGGCATTGAAAAAACTTGTGAAAGATTAAACATTTTTCGTCTGTAAGCAGCTGATGAGAAACTTCGAAATAATATGAATTCATACAATTCTGCACAAATATTTAATCTTGCTTTATTTAAATTCATAAAGGGAACCTATTGCATGAAACATTAATCAGTTGTGTTGAATTTCTCCAGGAAAATCAACACTGAAGACTGAAAGGATACATTTACCAATGCCTAGAACTGTGTAACACGTTTGATTGTTGTCATGAAATTTATTGGTAAACACTGAATGTTTTGCTTTGGTCTTCTAGTTACAACTCAATGGAAAATTCTGCAGTTAGGAAATCAAATATACACAGATGCTTATTAAGACCAGATGGAATATGCCAAATCAAGTAGAATATTTCTTATTTTATTAAAACTAACCAATCATTGACTAGTAAACAGTATTTTATTTCCTAGTCCTCAGTGATAATCAGGTATTATATCTGCATTTTCGACATAGTCTATTCTATCTACGTTTTCCGAAAGCGTATCACCGAGCATCACAATCAAATATGCCATGATTGAAGAAGTATTTGCCACTGTCTATTTGTAAGACTGTCTCTTTGAAAAATTGGCTGAGTGAGACTTTGTCACGTGTTTTGGACGAGTCCCAACTAATACATAACTTAGGTCGATGATTTTCCGTTGACTAGCTCTGATGAATTAGTATTAAATGTTTACATATTTCAGAACAAAATTCATGAAGAAAGTATCATCATCCTAAACCTAGTTAAAAATAGATATGAATTGAACCACTGAAATACAGATCATTTGTGAAAACTTGTCATTACCTCCCACTAGGTAGTCCTTCTAAAATTGTTGTCCATAAATGTTGTAAAGTATTTTTTGTACTAGCTTCAGTAATAACAAGACTACCGTTCGGTAACATTACTGAATCATCAAAAAATGTAACTTTGAAATCTTCATCTAATGGGAACAATTTCTTCACACTACCTAAAAGATGCAAAAATATAATCAATACTATTATTATTACTATTGTTTATTGAACTGACCATCTTTCACCGAGACAGAGAATACACCTAAATAGGCATCCGTGACCAAGAAATTCTCCGAATTGTTGAACAATTTTAAACCTAATGGTCTACCACATTCATGTACACCAACTAAATATTTGGTGTATTAGTTAAGGTATAAGCTATAAAGAACAATATTACCGCAGTTTGGTGAACCAAGTGTTGCATGAACATAAATCCCAGAATCATTTATTTTTAATATTTTCCCTTGAATCACTGTGGCATACAATGAACCTATTGGATAATTTCCCAATTAAGAAAGCTAAACAAAACTACACTACTTACCATCATGATAAATTAAACTTTCAGGACCACTGTAATTCATTAAATCAATCTTTTCTAACTTTCCATAATTTTTATTTGTAATAAGTTGGTCATTCAGCTCAATGGATGAATAAATATGATAAGTATATGAATCGGTTGATTTATTCAGAAAACAGCGTATTATGTATCCAATACAAATGACTGTTATTGATCTAAAAACAAGTTTTCTCAGTTCTGTCATTAGAACAGTTTTTTTATGGTTGAGAAAACAGGAGCATTTATTAAGCTTACTATATATACATAAATAGATTACGATGGCTTTGAAAAAAACTACAATTATGGTCGATAATAATTGATCGATTTCCGTTGCGGTGTTGTACATGAATTTACTGACCTAAAGGTCATTTCACAAACAGATTCTCTAGTGTGCCTTACACAATAGAATTTATTATTGTTGGTCTAATGACCAACGTTAAATATATGAACACATGCTAATAAGCGTTTCTTAATTTGATTGGTATTTTGATAGTTTTTTGAAGTGATTATCTATTTTGTTTAGTTTGACACGTTATATGAAACGATGAGTTCTGTGTATGACAATTGTGATCATTTAGAGGCAAACTTTGATATGTCAGATGGTTGAAAGTAGTTGACAGGAAACCCTGGATGCAAGTTTCATGCTATTCAGCACTTACCAGCAAGGTGTGCCTGTAAACGTGAAGGGAACGACACTCATTGTGGGATGACAGGTACGCCTCGTTGAAATGTGCTAAACAGCACGAAATTTAGAGTGATGTTTTCCTGTGCACTACCTCACACCATCTCGATGTAGTGAAGACGATATCGAGTCACTTAGACTATTGGCCATATTGTAACTTGACTTATAGAATTCGATAAGCACTAAATAATCAGACAAACATTACATTAATCACTACCTCGTGGTCACTCATCTCTTAGTATTAGACTTTTATTCTCGATTTTTTGATGGTTTGAAATAAATATTACTTAGGGATTTATAGTTAAATGTAATTCAAAATTAACAGAATTCACTTAAAATCTTAATGTCTGAGATGTAAAGTCTCTGATGGTCGAATTATATCATATGGTCTTGAGTATCTGGAAGTGACTTGCGTTCACTGTTATGGGTGAATTTCACATGTACTTCGATTTCTAACAATTGATCCCATATTAGAGTAAACAATTGTATCTGGCAAATTAGTGGCAATATTGTAGTTTGGGCCAAGGACTACTACAATAAGTTCTTAACAGTTTAGACAATAAAATCATACTATTCCTGAGCAATTGTTTAGCTGAGCGATCTGAGTACAGATAGCTGTTCGTTGGCTATTCAAGAGACAGTTAATACTTTTGACAATTCATAGAACAAAGATAATTGAAAGGAGAATTCTTTTTCCAATGAATTCATATCATATTCCACCTTTATATGCCGAAAACTATTGATTAAAGTAATAGTTATGTTTCCTGGAAATGTAGCTTTATATTACAGATATTGAATTTATATTTGTGAGTTAGTATAACAAGTTCATGGGGGATTGGCAGGTATTGAAATAGTTTTCGCGTTTAGTTTAACGATGTATCTTTATGATGTTTATAAATATCGGTAGAAGAGTGATAAAATAATGGTTGGGGTGAATCCTGGTATAGTTTTAAAGCTGGTCAGCACAATGGATATTCAAACTCAAATAAAACGAACTTAATCATGATAAATTTCAGTTGTAAAGATATTTGAAAGAGGGAGAAATAAGTAAGTTAACTACTCTAGATCAAATATATATCTACTTTGTAATTGAAATGAATAGTCATATATTAGAACCGTGCAAGTTATCTGTATAAGTTACATCTACCTTTTTGTGTTGTAAATGCTATTACATGATCAGTTTGAGGGATTTGGCCATCACACATTTACACTACATTATTTTTACTACAGTAGACAACTGATCATTACACACATGTGTTTTTTAGAAATAACTAGAGTTAAATGTGACTCTATTAAGCCATACTAAGTGATATTGATGTGGGTGATGAGGTGAATTATTAAGTCTCCAAGTACTACAATTCACTGTTAAGAAGTTAGACTGACAGTTACAATAGGAATTGGTCAGTCCAAGTAATTCATCTTTAGTTTTCTCGTTCTACTGTTTCACTTCTAATGTTTCTTAGATTACTTAATGTTCTATTGAACATGTGATTTTTCATTCATTTGAATCTGCTTTATTGATTTGAACTAGAAATATTGCCTTCCGATATGATCTAAGAATTACTTTGAGCTTTCATTGCATACAACGCTTTTTAATGTCTACTAACATTAGTTAAGTTATTAATCTAACTTGAAGCTGTATACTCTCTATACAAGACTTTATCTACCTGAAACATCATTCAGATCACTTAAGTATCGTTGACATCGAACATTCCCTTCCACTGATGAGTAGGGATGTCATTTCAGTTATGCTTTCCACATATCACCATTTAATTCATTGATTAAATCTAAGATATTATAATTCAGACCTAGAGGGTTTGTGTCTGAAGAAATATGTGCACTCATTCGGAAAGTTCACTTGACATTTGTTAATTTGCGTCACTTGTGGCGTAGACGAGACATCCGTCTACCAAACAAGGGATGAGTATATGACACAGCAGTTTAATTTTGTGGTTGTCAATTATGACCATTTAGAATAGATTACATTCGTGGGTTACTAGTATTCGATCACTAGTGTCTCCGAAGCATCGCCAGTATACATTGAGCCCACTGAGTGGGAAGTTTTGAAGTTCGGTAGAGAGTGCTAGGTAAATATGACGAATCGATTGACGAGGTATTGTATGTTCATCAACTGACGTAGTTGCGATAAGTATGTGATAAGTATGCTTGGTTATCGCCTACCATGAGGAACAATGATATCTGTTGAAAATGTATTTTGGAAGGAGGCAAGAGGCTGGCAAAACATTAAATAGTAACAGTACATGGAGACAATCACTGTTAGACAGAGCTATGTAGGGAGAAGTAGACTACATGTTTGAGGACTGGTGATTATCGTAACCAGTGTTTGGAGAATTTTGGTGATATGGTTCTGAATCCTTATTAATGGAGTGGATGTATTCACTACTTATCTAATGTTAGTTCTCAAGTAACATAATCCTATTGTCCGTTTTTCTTATACTCGATCGTTTCTTTTGCTCTCACATATATCATTACTATGATAAAATGAAAATTATGATTGCTTGAAATTTTCTACCGTGTCAGGTTATTATTACTTGAAAAGGTTACAGTAGTCATTTTAATATAGTGAAATAAATTTGTGGTTTTTTGTGTTTTGCGAATTGTTGTACTGTTCACTAATCGAACGGAATATCTCTTCTGGAAGTTTCACTGAGATGAATTCGAATCTTCGTGTGTTGGAGTAAAAGCCATAGATAATTTCTATCATGATTTCTATAGATTTACTTTAAATAAATATCCGATAACACTAAACCACATTGATTTCATTAATGTGATATATAGGGAAAAGTAATTTACCTGTGGACAAATGTTAAATGGTTTATAACTGGTAAAGATGAATAGATGCGTCATTAGATGATGTATAAACAGTAAATATAATATGAAAAGCGAACATATGAATACTGAACAGATGTATTACGGAGGTATTCATTCATTTGTATTTTTCTAATATATAACAAGTGTATATCACTGAATTTATTATGAAACAGATTTAGACTGTGCTAGGGTTAATTGGTTAGTAACGGGTGGGACAATTATAGTGGTGATGCTTCGTTATGTTTTAACCCAAATTTAATGAGTGAGAACTACAGAGTTTCTATATTTGAGGTTATTTCGATTCGAGTATTGTAAACTTCGATGATATTTATGGCCGATATAAAATGTAAAATTATTCTTTGATTTTGTTTCAAACGTTCTACAATTCATTTGTTGAATAAATACGTTCTATTAACTGTTTGTAAACTGCCTTATCAGCATCTAGTAGCAGTGTATTGTCTGTAAACCGAAATTTGAATATTAATATAAAGACTAAACGAAGCTTTATCTGTCGTATATATAAAACCAATTCATTTAAAGACCCCTATATCGAGTTATACTTATAAAAAGTAAATAGAATTTAAAATCAGCAATTTTAATAGGCTAAAACTAAAAGATAGGGAGTAAAAGGAATCCAAAATTTCGTTTTAACATGTTTTATATGTAGGAAGTTCCAAGAACGAGTGAGTGGAATGTTCCACGAGAATATAAATGAGTCATAACAATTATATGACTATATATGAAGGACGTCAGAGACATGATTATTATCAGATAACAATGATATTTTTAAATGGTTAACCTCACTAAAATGATGCTATGGTATCTATAAAAATCACTGATATGACTACTTGTCATGAGGGAACAAAAATTGATGAGGCGATATTCAAGGAAGTGGACAAGACAGTCAATCAAGATTTCATTATTTACTACAAACAATTCAACCAGTGATCAATAAATCTATCAAAATACACTGGGTCATATAACTAAACATAACGATCAAATACTCAATTTCATCTGTAGAAAATTCTCATTTCCACAATCTATGTATAAAACATATTGTGTTTTGATGAAGCGATTGATTCAATGAAATAGATAGGTTTGTGTAGTAGAAGTTTTGAACTATGCTAAACTGTTGAGAAGATATCTCGTCTTGTATGTTTCCTGTATGCTTCAAAGTTGGACTCATGAAAGTGTTTGAAAATATAATCGAAAGTAAGATTTTTGACCGATCACATTCTACATAACTTGAACAGTTTAAACTGTATCATTTAATTCTAGTGATCAGAAAGTGCTTAATCTTTTTGATACTTGTTCGTGAACTGAAAGACCAATTTTGAACATTAAATGAACCAGCGCAATTATTTTCATTTCTTATCATTTGCAAAACTAATATCCTTAAATCAACCAAAAGTGGATCAGTTTCAATGTGAGGTTATTTTCAAATGTGATTATCAATTTTAATGTACTTGTGGAAGAAAGTTCATAGGAAGGACTGAAAGAGGGGTATCTACAAGCTTTTATGAAAATACTCCCTAAATTGAAGTATTCACATGTAAAATGATTGGATATTTGATCGATGAACACAATATGGACTTTAAAAGGCGTTTGAAATAATAAATAATGAAGAGAAATCATTTTTACTTCACTTTGCAGAAGCCATCAAGTTTGTTTTAAGTTATCAATTAATTATCACTTATTACTTCAACATTTTCTTTATATGATTTCACATTCAACAAATAAATATCAGAAGAGGTCTTTGTGGTGATTTTAGTAGTTCAATAGTTGAATTCATGAGTCGATTGAAGCTAGACCACTATGGAAAAACTGGAAGCACTGGACAGCCGTCTCGTCCCAGTATAGGATTACCTAGTAATACACACCCACGATCCCGCTGGTGGAGTTCGTATACAGGACCTGTTGTTCTCACACGCCATCTCTTAATCTCTAGACCACTGAGCCTTTCGACATCCGACGATGTTAATGTATGTTACGTCAGTCCACGAAATCGCACCACCATCCATTATCGTCTTTAGTGAGTTACTATCTCACAACTGACCTCGTTGAACTCCACCTGTCAGTCCTAACTATTATATTAACTGTGTTGTATTCTCTTGAAATAAATCGAGTTGATTCCATTCTACAACTCTTTTTTTTCTCGCTATGTTTATATTGACAAGACATAATACCTTGTAAACCAATCTAAATTATCGTAATGAAATTTCAGTCTCATAACCAACTGGATAATTTAGTGTATACTCAACTAACAAGTTTAATACTTATGAATTTTCTTTCAAAATATAGTCGTTACGTTATGAGAAGGTACAAAGTAATCGGAAATCTGTTCTAAACAACCAGAGAGTGATTAAAATCATTCAATATTTAAGCTGATGAAATCTGATTTATGTACAAATTTTTCAATCTAATAATAATTGCTAATTGCAATTTAATTGTGCTAGACGAAACTTTAATTTCAACAAATCTTTAATTATTTAATTAATTAATTAATAAGCAGGAAATTAAGTAAGTAAGTATATGAATGATCTATCAATATAGCAGCTGATTATATTAGAACTAGACTGTATAAACAGTCATATGTTTGTGGGCGACAATCAGCATCATGAAGCAGAATAAAAATTTTAATGGAAAAGTCAAGGTCAAACGTGAACAACAAGTTTTCGTCATTACTAATGATTCCATAAATCCAGTGATATGAAAAATGTGAATGACGAATGATTGACAGAATAATAAGCCTTTGTTAACTAACTCAAACAAATATGTACACGTTGTGTTAACAAAATACTTGATTACGTACCCTTAGTTAGTTCAGTCCTGCTGAATACCTACTGAGTTTGTCCATGCTACTGTATTGTTTCCTAGATCTGAAATTAAAACACAACTAATTTCAGTTGTAATACCACTCATTATGACTAATGTTATCGAAGGTAGCTTCAACAGTAAAATTTGTTTATGTTTACTTAAAAAGGGAATTAGTAGTGTATCATAGGTTGAAAAAAAACACTGAAGTTCATCGCAATAAGGAAAATCTGAATATAAATCATAACCATGTGTGGAAAAAGTCAAACAACAGAAAACTGAATAGGTTGTGAATAATATTGTTGTGACAAAATAAATATTAGGGAAATGGTAACTTTTGGGACTATTTTACACTATATATATGTTGCATAATCATTAAATGAATGGATTATTATATATGTGCATTTCCTTTATCATAAGCTTCCGTTGGACACATTGACTGTTCATATATGTCCCACCATGTTTTAATTGTTGTTGGTTGATTATTCATCTCATGCCACATTCTGTCACTTACAGCTTGATAATATATGTGGAGTAGGATTTTATTCCTCGGACGTGTTGTGATCTGATGATTCCAATATAGTACCCATGATTCTTTGCAATATAGAAGCTCGTCTGCTTTGTTCTCTTACTGGGTTCAGTATTGGAATACAAGAAAGCCGTGAGTTTGTCGAACCAGTACTTACATAATTACCTACGCCTGTCACCCCTCGTAGAGGAGCATAGACCGCCCACCAGCACTCTCCATTCAACCCTGTTCTGGGCAATCCCTTCCAGTTCCTTCCAGATGCTATTCATCCTTTTCATTTCGGCATCCGATTCGCGACGTAGTGTGTTCTTCAGCCTTCCTCTTGGTGAACCAGTAGGTGTTAGATTATTCCGTCACCTCTCAAGCTTAATTGTGCCAGTTTAGCCCAATTATTGGTCAAGTCCACATCATTATTTTGTAAATGAGATGGTATACTCGAGCCAGAGACATAACTCCAGATTCTGGTTGATGAATCCACTCCAGTAGATCGATTAAGAATTTTGTAGCTAAACCAATTACATAAAAGTTTTAGTAATGTAAAAGTATTTTCTCTTATTATTCCTTATTAGCATGTACAACAATGTTGTTGATGTGAATTCAACTGCTAAAAATGTACTACTTACTCTATACAATGAACACAGACAATGGTTCTTTAACATTTTAAATTGTTGCCCATTGAATTTATATGAAAAATTCAATATTTTCACTTCGAAAGAAAACAACTAAAACTTTGAGATGGTGAAGAAGATTTGTAGCTCAAGTGGATAATTTTGGTGGAGTTTTGTTCTCTGAGATGGATAGAAGTTTGTGCTGATGATGTCGTTCAGAAGAACGATGAAAGCTCCACGACCAAACCATCCATCTCAGAGAACAAAACTCCACCAACTAAAACGTTTTGTAGAGTAAATTATTCAAACGCAAATCCACAAATTCAATATGGTCTATCTAACTTCTATAATTTCATAATAAGTTGTAACTGTCATTCAGTCTCTTTGATGAGCTCTCTTTCCTCTTATCAGTATCAAAGAAGTATTCACTATTAGAAATCCAATAAAATGAAGATGTAAATTGAAATAAAACCAGAGTATACGGATTTAAAAGAAACTTAAGCTGCACCATATATATATATATCAATGTTAGAGTAATCAGCTGAGCAACTGGTTGCAGCACTTTGTATACCACTTAGATAATAAATTATTTACTTCATTTTCCTTCTAAGGAAATAATTATCTGACATTGGTGTACCTGGAATAATTATTTTACAACTATTTTAGTAAATGAAATAAGTTTTAGTTTAGGTATTAATTGGTATGATCGGATCGCTGCTAGAAAAAAGAAAGCAAATCTACATCTGTATCATTTTTTTTATCAACGTTTTGTAATAACCACAAGTATTACGTAACATAAGCAAGTTAACATGCATAATGATATCAATTCACGACTTTAGCTAACTGAATTATAGACAGATAATTAAAGATGACCTGATTGATTCAATAAATGTAAATGGCATTGTGTCATTTATTATTGATTAAGTAATTCACACATTACACAATTAGTACAGAATAATTAAATATTGAGAAATAGCTAAGTCAAACTACCAACAATGACAACAACAACAACAACAACGAAAAAACATAAGAAAACAAGATATTGATGAATGTCTTAAAGATAAGCCAAATCAAAACATGGAAAGTATTTATCATCAATGTGCTGAATGAATAACAACGACAACAACAACAACAACAACATCAAATTACACAGTATTCATCTTCTGGAACTAAAGATTTTCAAATTTTATAGAAATTAATTTGACAATCTTCTTAAACGACCAATGTAAGGTAGATAAAAGCTTCCAGTGTATAGAGTATCATCATGTTCTAGTACTTCACAAGCATTTGGTAATTCATTTTGAAAATCTTTCCAAATTTCAATTATCTGTCCATTTTCATCTAAACGAATTAACATTGACGATTTTCCTTTCGGTATTAGTGTGAATGGAAGCATGGAGATAATCTGTTGCAAAGATAAAAAAAATAATGAAATACTGAATTCTTACTTAGTTTGGTGGGAAATTGCATAGAAGTTTAATATGTGTCACTAGATTCTCTGATCTACCTCTATCATAATTCATTTTGAAGGTATTGTGAAGTTTATTTTAATTCGTAATTAGCTTCAGCTACAGATTCACATTAGTTAAGGTACCCGTGAAAACCAGGGAACATTTCTCAGTTGTTCCGTTGCAGTGTGGAAACCCTCAGCGTTTGCCCCTGCTAAGGCACCGATATAGAATCGTTTGATCCCTATTCATTTTCTCTGAAATGAGTTCTGTAGGTTTCATTGGGAATTCAAGACTGGTGGAGGTCAACCATGCCATTATGTGATTGCACTGCCATGTCATTAGTTGGTTGAATTTGAAAATGTCTACATACACTGTTCTAGGTTTACTACTCGACTGCCAAAAAATTCAAAAATGGAGTGACAATAAGATGGAAAATATTGATTATAAAAAATGCAGGAATATTATTAACCGTACACTGGAAGCCAACTGACGAATACAAGGATAAGCTGGTAGATAATTGAGTAGAAGTTCAGATAGAGGCTCGTCACGAAGAGGTGATACAGGGACCCAATATCCACCACGTGGACTGGCTTTGATATTATCCGGAAAACCAGGTAGCCCATCACTGAACACGGTCACTTCACCTCCATCTAATGGAATTCGTAAAATTCGAAGTTTCATTGTTTCAACGAGTAATATGGATTTTCCGTCACTAGAAATTTCGATTCCGTTGGGAAAGCGTAAACCATCCATTATATGACTGTATTGACCAGGTAAATGAACGCTCCCACCTGTTGATGAGTTTTTCCGTCAAATGTGATTGTGTTGGTGCTTCCCGTGTCGTATTCGAGTCACTCCTCCTCTGAACCTTGCCACCATGCCCAAAATTGAATTAATAGCCTGTTTCTTTGCTCTTAAATTGGAAAGAATATAAAGGAACTGTTAATCATTCCTATTACTTCGGTCATCTATCAGATGGATTTGTTCATCCTGCTTCATCGCTGAAAACATATTATGAAAAGGCTTGAAAGCTTTGTGAGTAACGCAGAATCAATGAAGATACCTGAAAGGTAAATTGAATCATGCGGATCACGCATCGCGTGAACTATCACTGAATGATGAAGCTAGGTTAGGGGAGGGGTTAAAAGGGCAGGGTTTTATGTGGGTGGAAGAAGATAAATGACCTAACCTAGAAAAAGGTGAGAATACTGTGGCCCATGTATTGACACAGGATTTCGGATCCTCAAAATTCAATGATTACTTTCTAGATCGATTTCGTACGTGTAAGTCATGTTCCAGATAATTAAGAGTGTTTTCATACTGCAGACGGTTTATTGACAATACGTTGAACATGAAGAATGGACAATGTCTAACCTTAGTCGCACTAAGTGTTGAGGACATAGCTGGCTGACCACGAGGTAGTGGTCAATGTATTCTTTGTCTGATTATTTAGTGCTTATCGAATACTATAGGTCAAGTTACGATATAGCCAATAGTATAAGTGACTCGATATCGTCTTCACTACATCGAGATGGTGTGAGGTAGTGCACAGGAAAACATCACTCTAAATTTCGTGCTGTTTAGCACATTTCAACGAGGCGTACCTGTCATCCCACAATGAGTGTCGTTCTCTTCACGTTTACAGGCACACCTTGCTGGTAAGTGCTGAATAGCATGAAACTTGCATCCAGGGTTTCCTGTCAACTACTTTCAACCATCTGACATATCAGAGTTTCCATCTAAATGATCACAATTGTCATACACAGAACTCATCGTTTCATATAACGTGTCAAACTAAACAAACTAGATAATCACTTTAAAAAACTATCAAAATACCAATCAAATTAAGAAACGCTTATTAGCATGTGTTCATATATTTAACGTTGGTCATAAGACCAACAATAATATGTTCTATTGTGTAAGGCAAACTAGAGAATCTGTTTGTGAAATGACCTTTAGGTCAGTAAATTCATGTACAACAATGCAACAAAATATGACCATATATGTAGTTTTTCAAAGCGATCTCAGTATATTTACGTATATATAGTAAGCTTAATAAATGATTCTATTGCTCTCAACCATAGAAAAGACTGTTCCAATGATAGAACTGAGAAAACTTGGTTTTAGTTCAATAACAGTCATTTGTATTGGGTACATAATACTCTGTTTTCTGAATAAATCAACCGATTCATATACTTATCATATTTATTCATCCATTGAGCTGAATGACCAACTTATTACAAATAAAAATTATGGAAAGTTAGAAAAGATTGATTTAATGAATTACAGTGGTCCTGAAAGTTTAATTTATCATGATGGTAAGTAGTGTAGTTTTGTTTAGCTTTCTTAATTGGGAAATTATCCAATAGGTTCATTGTACGCCACAGTGATTCAAGGGAAAATATTAAAAATAAATGATTCTGGGATTTATGTTCATGCAACACTTGGTTCACCAAACTGCGGTAATATTGTTCTTTATAGCTTATACCTTAACTAATACACCAAATATTTAGTTGGTGTACATGAATGTGGTAGACCATTAGGTTTAAAATTGTTCAACAATTCGGAGAATTTCTTGGTCACGGATGCCTATTTAGGTGTATTCTCTGTCTCGGTGAAAGATGGTCAGTTCAATAAACAATAGTAATAATAATAGTATTGATTATATTTTTGCATCTTTTAGGTAGTGTGAAGAAATTGTTCCCATTAGATGAAGATTTCAAAGTTACATTTTTTGATGATTCAGTAATGTTACCGAACGGTAGTCTTGTTATTACTGAAGCTAGTGCAAAAAATACTTTACAACATTTATGGACAACAATTTTAGAAGGACTGCCTAGTGGGAGGTAATGACAAGTTTTTCACAAATGATCTGTATTTCAGTGGTTCAATTCATACCTATTTTTAACTAGGTTTAGGATGATGATACTTTCTTCATGAATTTTGTTCTGAAATATGTAAACATTTAATACTAATTCATCAGAACTATTCAACGGAAAATCATCGACCTAAGTTATGTATTAGTTGGGACTCGTCCAAAACACGTGACAAAGTCTCAAGCAGCCAATTTTTCAAAGAGACAGTCTTACAAATAGACAGTGGCAAATACGTCTTCAATCATGGCATATTTTATTGTGATGCTCAGTGATACGCTTTCGGAAAACGTAGATAGAGTAGACTATGTCGAAAATGCAGATATAATACCTGATTATCACTACAGGACTAGGAAATAAAATACTGTTTACTAGTCAATGATTGGTTAGTGTTAATAAAATAAGAAATATTCTACTTGATTTGGCATATTCCATCTGGTCTTAATAAGCATCTGTGTATATTTGATTTCCTAACTGCAGAATTTTCCATTGAGTTGTAACTAGAAGACCAAAGCAAAACATTCAGTGTTTACCAATAAATTACATGACAACAATTATATCTCTAACCATTAAGACAAAAACGTGTTGCACAGTACTAGGCATTGGCAAATGTATGCTTTCAGTCTTCGGTGTTGATTTTTCTGGAGAAATTCAGCACAACTGATTAATGTTCACTGAACAAAAATTATCTTTAAAAGATTAAATGAAATATACGGTTGTATTACTGCAGATATGTGAAAGCATTAATACCTCTTTTCTTTCGACAATGAGTCAGATGGATACTTCGGTTCTAAATGTTTACAATTAAGTCTTTTAATGCTGTCAAATAACCACTAGATAACTTGGTTTGGATACAACGAAACATTATTCGAATGACCACCAGGAACCAAAGTGTTGCATACAAATATCACATTATTCTTAGTAACGTTTATACACGTAACCACGATGTCACCGTTATATTCTGGGAAATAAACCTAAAAATATACAAAACAGATATGGTCAAAACAATAGACTTCAATAACTGTCAAAGCTATAATAAGATCAAATTAATGCGATGCACTAAAATTTGAATACGCCTTCCAATCATTTGTATTTCTGGAACACGAATCCTAATTAATGTAGGTTTCTTCTTTAATTATATCTCTAGGCTAACAATGGCTGATACAAAAACTGGTCAATACAGTCATATAATGGATGGTTTACGCTTTCCCAACGGAATCGAAATTTCTAGTGACGGAAAATCCATATTACTCGTTGAAACAATGAAACTTCAGATTTTACGAATTCCATTAGATGGAGGTGAAGTGACCGTGTTCAGTGATGGGCTACCTGGTTTTCCGGATAATATCAAAGCCAGTCCACGTGGTGGATATTGGGTCCCTGTATCACCTCTTCGTGACGAGCCTCTATCTGAACTTCTACTCAATTATCTACCAGCTTATCCTTGTATTCGTCAGTTGGCTTCCAGTGTACGGTTAATAATATTCCTGCATTTTTTATAATCAATATTTTCCATCTTATTGTCACTCCATTTTTGAATTTTTTCGGCAGTCGATTAGTAAACCTAGAACAGTGTATGTAGACATTTTCAAATTCAACCAACAAATGACATGGCAGTGCAATCACATAATGGCATTGAGAAAGAATGTCTCACTACCGACATGGTTGACCTCCACCAGTCTTGAATTCTCAATGAAACCTACTGAACTCATTTCAGAGAAAATGAATAGGGATCAAACGATTCTATATCGGTGCCTTAGCAGGGGCAAACGCTGAGGGTTTCCACACTGCAACGGAACAACTGAGAAATGTTCCCTGGTTTTCACTGGTACCTTAACTAATGTGAATCTGTAGCTGAAGCTAATTACGAATTAAAATAAACTTCACAATACCTTCAAAATGAATTATGATAGAGGTAGATCAGAGAATCTAGTGACACATATTAAACTTCTATGCAATCTCCCACCAAACTAAGTAAGAATTCAGTATTTCATTATTTTTTTTATCTTTGCAACAGATTATCTCCATGCTTCCATTCACACTAATACCGAAAGGAAAATCATCAATGTTAATTCGTTTAGATGAAAATGGACAGATAATTGAAATTTGGAAAGATTTTCAAAATGAATTACCAAATGCTTGTGAAGTACTAGAACATGATGATACTTTATACACTGGAAGCTTTTATCTACCTTACATTGGTCGTTTAAGAAGATTGTCAAATTAATTTCTATAAAATTTGAAAATCTTTAGTTCCAGAAGATGAATACTGTGTAATTTGATGTTGTTGTTGTTGTTGTCGTCGTCGTCGTTGTCGTCGTTGTTATTCATTCAGCACATTGATGATAAATACTTTCCATGTTTTGATTTGACTTATATTTAAGACATTCATCAATATCTTGTTTTCTTATGTTTTTTTCGTTGTTGTTGTTGTTGTCATTGTTGGTAGTTTGACTTAGCTATTTCTCAATATTTAATTATTCTGTACTAATTGTGCAATGTGTGAATTACTTAATCAATAATAAATGACACAATGCCATTTACATTTATTGAATCAATCAGGTCATCTTTTAGTTATCTGTCTATAATTCAGTTAGGTAAAGTCGTGAATTGATATCATTATGCATGTTAACTTGCTTATGTTACGTAATACTTGTGGTTATTACAAAACGTTGATAAAAAAAATGATACAGATGTAGATTTGCTTTCTTTTTTCTAGCAGCGATCCGATCATACCAATTAATACCTAAACTAAAACTTATTTCATTTACTAAAATAGTTGTAAAATAATTATTCCAGGTACACCAATGTCAGATAATTATTTCCTTAGAAGGAAAATGAAGTAAATAATTTATTATCTAAGTGGTATACAAAGTGCTGCAACCAGTTACTCAGCTGATTACTCTAGCATTGATATATATATATATGGTGCAGCTTAAGTTTCTTTTAAATCCGTATACTCTGGTTTAATTCCAATTTACATCTTCATTTTATTGGATTTCTAATAGTGAATACTTCTTTGATACTGATAAGAGGAAAGAGAGCTCATCAAAGAGACTGAATGACAGTTACAACTTATTATGAAATTATAGAAGTTAGATAGACCATATTGAATTTGTGGATTTGCGTTTGAATAATTTACTCTACAAAAAGTTTTAGTTGGTGGAGTTTTGTTCTCTGAGATGGGTGGTTTGGTCGTGGAGCTTTCATCGTTCTTCTGAACGACATCATCAGCACAAACTTCTATCCAGCTCAGAGAACAAAATTCCACTAAAATCATCCACCTGAGCTACAAATCTTCTCCACCATCTCAAAGTTTTAGTTGTTTTCTTTCGAAGTGAAAATATTGAATTTTTCATATAAATTCAATGGGCAACAATTTAAAATATTAAAGAACCATTGTCTGTGTTCATTGTATAGAGTAAGTAGTACATTTTAGCAGTTGAATTCACATCAACAACATTGTTGTACATGCTAATAAGGAATAATAAGAGAAAATACTTTTACATTAATAAAACTTTTATGTAATTGGTTTAGCTACAAAATTCTTAATCGATCTACTGGAGTGGATTCATCAACCAGAATCTGGAGTTATGTCTCTGGCTCGAGTATACCATCTCATTTACAAAATAATGATGTGGACTTGACCAATAATTGGGCTAAACTGGCACAGTTAAGCTTGAGAGGTGACGGAATAATCTAACACCTACTGGTTCACCAAGAGGAAGGCTGAAGAACACACTACGTCGCGAATCGGATGCCGAAATGAAAAGGATGAATAGCATCTGGAAGGAACTGGAAGGGATTGCCCAGAACAGGGTTGAATGGAGAGTGCTGTTGGGTGGTCTATGCTCCTCCACGAGGGGTGACAGGCGTAAGTAATTATGTAAGTACTGGTTCGACAAACTCACGGCTTTCTTGTATTCCAATACTGAACCCAGTAAGAGAACAAAGCAGACGAGCTTCTATATTGCAAAGAATCATGGGTACAATATTGGAATCATCAGATCACAACACGTCCGAGGAATAAAATCCTACTCCACATATATTATCAAGCTGTAAGTGACAGAATGTGGCATAAGATGAATAATCAACCAACAACAATTAAAACATGGTGGGACATATATGAACAGTCAATGAGTCCAACCGAAGCTTATGATAAAGGAAATGCACGTATATAATAATCCATTCATTTAATGATTATGCAACATATATATAGTGTAAAATAGTCCCAAAAGTTACCATTTCCCTAATATTTATTTTGTCACAACAATATTATTCACAACCTATTCAGTTTTCTGTTGTTTGACTTTTTCCACACATGGTTATGATTTATATTCAGATTTTCCTTATTGCAATGAACTTCAGTGTTTTTTTCAACCTATGATACACTACTAATTCCCTTTTTAAGTAAACATAAACAAATTTTACTGTTGAAGCTACCTTCGATAACATTTGTCATAATGAGTGGTATTACAAATTAAAGTAGTTGTATGAGGTTGTGGAGACTATTAAGTTTTAATTGAGATCTTGAACCAATTGATGTTAGACCATCACAATTGAAAACCTGGAAGCACTGGACGGCCGTTTCGTCCTATTGTGGGACTCCTCAGCAGTGCGCATCCACGATCCCGCGAGCGGGATTCGAACCCAGGGCCTTCGGTCTCGCGCGCGAACGCTTAACCAACTGGACCACTGAGCCGGCATCCAATGGTGATAGTTTCTAACATCAACCAATCCACGAAATTGCGCGACCCACTTCCATTGTCTTTTTAAGTAGATAACTGTCTCTACCCGACAAGGATTAGCTCCACTGGTCACGGCTTCTCACTAGAACTCCGAGAATTCCCTCACGAAGCTAGTCACTAGTGAGGAGTCCCACAATAGGACGAAACGGCCGTCCAGTGCTTCCAGGTTTTCAATTGTGATGGTCTAACATCAATTGGTTCAAGATCTCAATTAAAGTAGTTGTGTTTTAATTTCAGATCTAGGAAACAATGCAGTAGCATGGACAAACTCAGTAGGTATTCAGCAGGACTGAACTAACTAAGGGTACGTAATCAAGTATTTTGTTAACACACCTTGTACATATTTGTTTGAGTTAGTTAACATAGGCTTATTATTCTGTCAATCATTCGTCATTCACATTTTTCATATCACTGGATTTATGGAATCATTAGTAATGACGAAAACTTGTTGTTCACGTTTGACCTTGACTTTTCCATTAAAATTTTTATTCTGCTTCATGATTCTGATTGTCGCCCACAAACATATGACTGTTTATGCAGTCTAGTTCTAATATAATCAGCTGCTATATTGATAGATCATTCATATACTTACTTACTTACTTAATTTCCTGCTTATTAATTAATTAATTAAATAATTAAAGATTTGTTGAAATTAAAGTTTCGTCTAGCACAATTAAATTGCAATTAGCAATTATTATTAGATTGAAAAATTTGTACATAAATCAGATTTCATCAGCTTAAATATTGGATGATTTTAATCACTCTCAGGTTGTTTAGAACAGATTTCCGATTAATTTGTACCTATTTACTTAATTAATTAATTACTTATTTACTTAGCCCTCGATGAGGACCATAGGCCATACATCAACATTCTCCATCCAACACTGTCATGGATAATCCTTTCCAGTACTTTCCAGTTGATATTCATCCTTTTCACGTTTGCTTCCAATTCGCGACGTAGTGTGTTCTTCGGCCATCTTCTTTTCCGTTCCCCCCTTAGGATTCCGAGTTAGGGCTTGTCTCGTGATGCAATTTGGTGATTTCCGTAATGTGTGTCCTATGCACCTCCAACGTCTTTTCCTAATTTCCTCTTCACATGGAGTCTGGTTTGTTCTCTCCCACAAGAAGCTGTCGCTGATTATATCCGTCCAGCGGATATCCTATGTAGACAACTGCTTATAAATACTTGTACCTTTTTGAGGATGTTTGTAGTAGTTCTCCACGTTTCAGCTCCGCACAGTAGAACTGTCTTTACGTTCGTATTACAGATCGTGGCTTTGATGTTGGCATGCAGACAGTTGTATTGAGCTCCATATGTTGTTCAACTGTAGGAATGCTGCTCTTGCTTTGCCAATCCTCACTTTTACATCTGCATCGGATCCTCCTTGTTCATCGATGATGCTTCCCAGTTAAGTGAAAGACTCCACAGCTTCCAGAGTTTCTCCAACAAGTGTGATTGGGTTTGTGTTCTCCGTGTTTTATTTGAGGATCGTGCTTTTTCCTTTATGTCACATAAATTTACAGATTACATCTATTTCTAAATCAATGAGTTATACTTGATATATTACTCTGAATTAAGTGGAGGTTTTGGAATCACGAATTACATGTTAGAATTGTGAATCTGGTAGTGGCCAAATAAAACAAACTACATCTAACAAATAAAGCAGTATCTAGTTTTTTATTTGCTCACTTATAGTCTTCTATATTATGAACTGACTCTACACATCAGTCAACAAATTCGTCACCATGTTAGTATTTTTATTAGTGCTCGTTAACATATTCTGCTCGTTCACTCTTCTATCCAGCGGATAAAATAACGTATGGCAGCAATGTCGTGAGGTTCCATACCAATATTTTTTAAGCAGGAACAGTTCTGTCTGTTCAGACTAAACTTGAAATAACTTTGATCATGACTAAAACTATTAAATTTTGATAGCAACCGCAGAAAACGTGTAGAAGAGAGAATAGACAAACTTAAAAGTATAAAGTTTATCAATTATTTGGAATAATATACGACAGTGTCAGCAGCTAAGTTTGATACACTTGAAATATGGATGAGGAGATTTCAACAATAATAATGATGTTCATTGACAAGTTGAATAAACCGACAATTCAGTTGAAGAGAATTGTATGAAACACAGTGTAGATTGCTCATTTCCTCCTCCCCCTCCTCTTCCTCCTTCTTCTCCTCCTCCTTCTCCTCCTCCTTCTCCTCCTCCTTCTCCTCCTCCTCCTCCTCCTCCTCCTCCTCCTACTACTACTACTACTACTACTACTACTACTACTACTACTACTACTACTACTACTACTACTACTACTACTACTACTACTACTACTACTACTACTACTACTACTACTACTACTACTACTACTACTACTACTACTACTACTACTACTACTACTACTACTACTACTACTACTACTACTACTACTACTACTACTACTACTACTACTACTACTACTACTACTACTACTACTACTACTACTACTACTACTACTACTACTACTACTACTACTACTACTACTACTACTACTACTACTACTACTACTACTACTAC